TACACTGCATGTCAACACCGTGGAACCATAATGAAACAGCAAGTAAATTATAACATAAAAGCAGAAAATATTTCCTGTGTGAAATCAGGGGGGTTGACTAAGTCCCACCAAATATTCCCTTTCTGGTCTGCCTAACAACAGAAATCTGGGTACTTTTATGGAAGGTGTGTTGGAAAAAATGGGTAATTAATGTGTTTCTTTCTGTGTGTTGGGTGGCAGTGTTTATGCATCAGATTTGTTTTAAAACACACACAGTCTGATGGTGGACTAGCAATATGTTTTTCTTTATTACAAATAAGTTCCTGGACGTGGTGCTTCTCCAGATTTGTCAAATGATTTAATATTAAAGAATCCAGTCTACATTTCTGTTGCTTCCCTCAGCAAGAAATGTTTTTCTCAGCATCTTCACCTACTCTGATGAAACTCCTCTGCATCTCACCTAACTAGAAATTATTTATTTTTATAGCTCCATAGGTGAGCACTGTGCTTTGCCACAAATTAGTGCTTCAGACTTTGGTACAGCAAGAAATGGTTCAAGCAGTGTACGTGCACATTTGAAGGAGTTATTAATTGATTTTAATGCTTCTTTACTAATGGGCTCTTCAAGCAGCCATCTTTCTATACTGATGGAAAAATCAATAAAAAAAATGAACCAGAAATAAAACAGATTAGTATCCTCATGCCACAAAAGGAATGGGTGCTTAATTTAATTTAACTTTTAATAGCATAATAAATGGTAAGAGTGGCAATATTTCAAACTAATAAATTACATTTTTTGTTGCTTCTGTAAAATAGAAATATTTTGATTCTTCCAGGCTGGAATGTGCATTGTTCAAGTACGATAGCTGCTCAGGGAAAATGTTCTTTTAGATTAAAGAAACCATTTTTAACATTTCTCTTAACTTTGCTAAAAATAACACAAAAATGTGTTTCTCCACAAACAGATTCATAAACAATTTGAAGAGTCACAGTGCCCCCTAGTGGGATAAGGAATATTGTTACTTCCTAGGAAACAAAGTTGACACTTGTTTCAGAGCATGCAGTCATGCAGATTTGGAGAGGGCAAAACAAGTATAAAGTATAATTAAATGCCTGTGGCCTACGGTACGCTATTGGGTGTTTCCCAAGAGTGAAGCTAGCCTTCAGTTAAAAAAGTATACTACTTAATAGCATGTACTTGTTAAAACTTGCAAGTCCAATATTAATACAACTTAGTGCTCCTTGTCTAGAGTGGTTATGTCCAAAGACCAAAGCAGTCTGGGTGATTTGTTCAAGGGGCCAGTTTAAAAAAAAAAAAGTAGTAGTATGTAAAGGAATTTGAGACACAATAGTCTGCAAAATAATTAAAAGGGAAACTTAGAAAACCTTGTGCAATCAATATATTTGTATACATTGATATGATTAATTTTCCCTTTTGATTTCAGTGTGATTGATTTGTGTGTGATTAAATTGTAACATATATTTAAGTGCTTGGCTTGCTGGGGGCTAGTGTACTAGTGTACATTGGTGGAGCAGTCTGGTTAAAGCAGAGGCCAATAGCTCCTGTACATAATACTGCATAAGGGAGTGGGATAGGGAAGGGAGAACAGAAACCCAGCTGAAATTAATTTATCACTCAAGATCTAGAACTGTGCAGAAAACCCTTGCAGTGAGCATCTCAGCTTTCATAAGGTTCCCTAAATCTAGGTGAGTTTAAGGCCTAACAGGTAAGGAATGGACATCAAGAAACTGACCCCCAGTGCAAGCCTCTAAGCACTATAACACAAATGCATGAAAATAATAGTAACTAAGTCCTATGTAAGATAAAGAAGCTATGCTTAGTAATATGGAAATAGTATAGAAAAATATTTTTTCTTCTTTACTTATTTAAGACAAGTTTCTTTTAAGAACCATGTGGCAGATCCATTATAGCTTTGATAGTCTATTCCTCCTACTAGTATATCAAGTTCCTTTGACAGCATGAAGGAAAAGAAAAGGAATATAACTCTGCTATACAGATCTACGTGTTGTTCTGTGTGATGAGCCAATAGAAGCATTAACAGCAACATATCATCTCAGCAGATATTTTCTTAGACAGTCAGGTATCTCTACAAACTGCTACTTGTGATCCTGTGATCCCTTTTTTATAGGTCTGCATGCCCCAGTTGTGATGCTGGGCTGCAGATCTGCTGGTCAGTTATTGTTATTAATTTTAAACAGTAGTCTTCATTCCTATCCAGTGGCTGCAAGCTGATGCAATAGCTGCAGGTTTGAATACGGTGAATAAGATCTGACACTGGATTAAGAAGTTTTTCCTCTGTGGAAGTCCTGCGCTGCTTTTTGACAAGTAGAGATTTGGTGTTGGCATTTTTGGAATGCAATTAAAAGAAATGTATAATTTATTTTAATATGTGTATGGCATTCCATTAATTATATCTGAGCAGTTCAATCTTTAAAGAAGCTATCGTCAGAACGCCCCTAGAAAATTCTGTTGTTAGATATGCCAATAGTATAATTGCTCGTAAGTAAGGCTGATAACACCACCTGTTAAGGTTTCTTGACACTTCCCATTACAAGACTCTGTTCAGTTGCTTATAACTCTGCCAATGCTTACCAACTGGGTTGAAATCTTACATACTGGACACATCTACGTGAGACATTTACCATGGAGTTGCCTAATTAGCTCCACAGTAAACTCTCCGTATCTACACGTGGCCCTATTAGCTCTCAGTAAACTACTAAACCCTGCCATAGGTTAGTACTTGTAAACATAAGTACTGTCATGTCACAGCATTATCTAGTGTGCCACGACACATGTGTAGCTGCTGACAGGGCTGCCTGGGGCACGGGGGTGTTTCAGTGAAGGAGCTGCCTGCTGGCTAGCCCCACACTGGATTACTCTCGTGCCCTAGCCAGCCCCCATGCAGCACGTTGAGCCAGGCTGCAGTAGCCTCAGGCTGGCAGACTAACCTCCTGGGCCTCCTGCCAGCCCAGGCTGCTCTAACCCAACATACTGTGGTCCCAGGTGCATGTGTAAATATAGCACCTAGGAACAATGAACTCCGGAGTAAACTAAACCAGAGTTTATTCAGTTGAATTAATTGCACATATAGATATGCCCACTGTGTATCTGCATCAGACTGATTATTTTGGTTCAACCATTTTTTTTAAATAGTGCTGGGGGGTGAGAATTAATGTTAAAGGAAATAAAATTATACTTTTTCCTTAAGAACAGGGTTGTTCAACTGGTGGCCCAGGGGTGAGGCAGGGGGCATGGCAGCATGGGATATGGCACTGCAGCCCATGGTGCCAGGAAGCCAGCAGCCTGGAGCACCCATGCCACAGGGAAGTCCATGGGGAGATAAGAGTGAGGCAGGCTGCTGTGCCACACATCGGCCACACGCAAAGCAGTGGCTTGGTTGACTGTCCCTCCGCATTGCATAGTGCAGCAGGAGTGGAGAGGAAGCTTTCCCACACAGACGCATGCAGCAAACATGCAGCCTGGGGGACTATGGCCCCTGCTTGTGTTGTCTTTGCATTGTGCAGTGTGCAGACACTGGTGTGGTCTATGTGGAATATAGCACCCAGCCACTTTGAAGTTGAACAGCTCTTTCAAAGGTTCTAGTACCCCTGTACACTAAGGTGGGACAATTGAGGCAGCCTCCATGTGTGCCAGTTTGAGGGAGGGGATGGCAACCCCCCCCCCCCCCCAAAAAAAAAACCCCCACTGCTGCTATGGCCATGGTATTGGTGGCACTGTCTCTCTGCTGGTGTCAAGGTGATGTTACTGCTATTATCCAGGAAGTAGAAGCAGTCAGATCTGAATACAGAGGCATTGAAAAGTAGACTAGATAGAGGGAATGGAATAGATTGAAACAGAGTATTTGAGATTAGAGATTCAGGTGAGAATGAACTAGGACTGGCTGGGCAATGAGGATAGGAGTGGGAGCTAGGGACAGAGGAGGAGACTTGGCATTGGTTGGATAGTGGGGAAAACATGACAAGTAAGGCTCTGGAGAAAGAAAGACTGGGACTGTCTCATCACTCTAGTAGACTAGCCAGCACAGGAGGGGAGCAAGGCAAGGGCTGCTGGCAGTATAACCTTAGCTGCCTGGGAGTTAAGTACTGAAATGCACAAAAGGAAGCACAACTTTGTAGCACACTGCTTAGGATACTCAGCTGAGGGACAGAATCCTACATTCTGGTCCTAGTTCCCAAGGCTGTTTCTGTATTTTATATTAAACTGTTTTTATATTTTACCCAGTAATAGTCCTAGGAGAATGGGCCAGAATGCAAAGCTGCTCTATTAGCAGTGCTCTAACCAGTAGCTTATGTAGTCAGTCCCCCTGACCCTCTCCCTCCCTCCAGTGGTGCAGCTTCAGCAGGACGGATAGCAGATGTCCCTTCCCAGAGGAGCCAAAAGTCTGGTCAACGAGCACTTTCCTAGGAGGTGGGATACATGGGTTTGAATATAATCAGCCATTGAACCAGATGGCTAAATGCTCTAATCACTATGCAGTTATATTAAAAAATGAACAATACAAACCTCTGAATACACCTCCTAGACTGGGCCTGCAAAATGATTTAGATGGATGCTGTGTTTCTGAATCCTAATGGGAATCAGGAGATGGGAGATGGGGACTGAACTGTTCACACTGGGGCAGTTCTGGGAACAACCAGATCCAAAACTCTAGACACCTGGAGAACTTTGAAGTCAAACAAGGAGACACCTCCAGGGAAAAGCTGGAGCTAAATAGGGACTTCTGGGATCAGAATTAGGCCCCTCAGTTTTTAAGTTCAGCTTCAGATACTAAAATTCTTTATTTGATCTAATCCTTCAGGTGTAGATTTTGTAGTCGGAGTGAAAGCATGAGAAAATCAGACTTTGTTTATACAATCACTGGATCATAGAATCACAGATAATTAGGGGTGGAAGGGACCTCAGGACATCATCTTGTTCAGCCCCCTACTCAAAGCAGGACCATCCCCAACTAAATCATCCCAGACAAAGCTTTATCTAGCCAGGTCTTAAGGATAGACAAGGATGGAAATTTCACAACCTTTCTGGGTAATCTTGTCCCTTTCTTCATGCACTGAACTTCCTACTGATGCATTTAGATTAAAGGAATTGTATAAGGAATATTCACAAATATCAGCTACAACTCATCTTCCTTTTTCTTGTATATGTTATCAACTTTCTGCCACTTACATTCAAAGAATGCTCTGAATGCTGGGGGTCAGGAAGAAGTAACGTACTACTGGTTAAATGATAAGATACGCTCTGCTTTTTTGTGAAAGTCATAAACAACTTGTCATTTCCTTTACAGACTTTGGGTGAAGTTTAATATTAGCAAGACGATTTCATTATGGAATCAGCTAGATATTTCATTTTATGTGATAAATGAAAGATTATCACACTGCCTATACATTTCAGAATAAGTTTATAATGTTTGGTATCGATGCTTGATCACAAGCACTTCCAAAGGGGTTATTAAATCTTCCTGAAGTCCTTCTGCATTAGAGATGAAAAATAATTCAGTTTATCTTTTCCATTTTTTTTATTTGTATATGGTAAGCAGATAGTCAGTTACATCAGGGCAGCTTAAAATCCTAATGCAAGATAGAAATATTAAAAATAATTAGTAGTTGCATAATTCCTGCTGTAAATACATCATAACATGAAACCTAATGTGTATCATTTAACTACATAGTTTAGAATATTGCACAGTAAACATTTACTAAAGAAGATATTCACCACTAAATATCAAAGCACACTACATTAATAGGTAGTCTCTATGTAAGAGAAATTCAGCATATCATGCCTTTTTTAAATAGTAGGAACATACCACAATCCAAAAATGCACTAAGTCCCCAGCAGCACCGTACCTAGACTCCTGGCAGCCCTGTGTGAACTTTAAGTATCTGGCCCCCTTTCACCAGAGATAATGATAATAATAATAATAAAAATTACCATTTTGGGGGCCCTTTTTTGTCTGGCAGCCTCCTGGCTCGCCTATGCCTGTGTCTGGCCCTGGTCCCCAGACATAATAGTTACAACATATTTGCATCTCTCAATTAGCAGAAAATGTCAAGAATACTAGCAATTTGGATATTGCCCAGAGCAGGGACTTGAAACCTCAGTCTCCTATATCCCAGTTGAGTGCCCTCTCTATCTTGCATTTGACCAAGAGTTCCATCGTACCCCTAAGACACCTTTCAGACAAAAGTTTTATTAAAGAGTTGTTCCCACAAAAATGATGCTTTTGATAAATTGAACTGCTAGCAGAAAAACTCCAATTAGCTCTAATCATAATCCTGCTGATATGTTAACAGAAACACTGAAATGAGATGCAGACTCCAGAAACAGGAACATATGCAGAAGAGGATGTGGAAGTGGTAGCGAAAGGGTGAAAAGGGATACAGAAGATTTGAATGAGATGGTAGGGTTGATGAAAGAGTGTAGTTGGTAAGACAAGGAAGAACAAAAGAGAAAAAACTTTCACAGAGTATGAACTGAGACTCTCACCCATGTGTTTATATAGAATGCTATTTTAAAACAGGAATAAGTTCTTGAATTATGGGAAGGTAATGACATCTAAGAGGTGATGGCATGCAAAATAGGTCAAATGTGATACTTAATACTTCCTGTCACAAAAGGATGACTGTAGCTACAGATTCTAGTTATTTATTCTAATGAAAGTGTGTGCTCTAACCATTTTCTCTACAATATTCACGTGATAAATACCAGTACAGGTTACAAAAGCTATCAATGGCACTGTAGAAGATAGCTCAATATCTTTTTATTTATTTATTTTAAAAAGACTATTTCAGATCAAATAGAACCAGTTCTTCCTTCCTTCCTCTTTGGTGTTAATGGACACTAAAATAATGTAACTTTTAATACATTTTAAGGTGGACACCTTCCATATAAAACAACTATATATTCTCTGATACTATTAAGATGAAAAGATGAGTCTTCTTGGCATGGTAGCCTTGTTACGTTCCTTCTTTCCTTGAACTATAGACCATAGCTTTTGTCTCTGGCAAAGGGTCTCTTCAGAACAATACATGAGTGCTATCATCTCTCCTTTTTTTTTTCTTCTCACCTTCCCATTCATCTGGAGAACACAGAATAATTGCTGGCAATTATATACTTTTCACCCTGTTTTGCTTTCTTTTTTTTTCCACTGCTGCTGTTACCAAATAATTCTAAATAGGGGTGAATATATTGTAGACAGGAATGAGGAAATTATGCCAAAGAGCAACCGGCAAGATGGGTTCAGCTGTAATCACAGAGTTCAGGATAGTTAAGCTAAAACCTAAAGGAAGCTCTCTCTGATGTGTCCCATCAGAGAGAGCTGTTTACTGTTTACCTAAGTCTTCCACAAACATTTGCCACTGAAAAGAAGGAAGATGGCTAGAGTCTTCCAAGTCATTTAGACGTGGAATAATCCTAACACACATTCTCAAAAAGGACGTATTGCAGTATCCGGGTATTTGGGTCTCAAAGATTCCTCTTGAGACAATGGGAGTCCTGTGGAGAACGTTACAGGTGAGTAATTAAAACCCATCTTGATGAGTTGCATAGCAATTCTCAAGTCAGCAATTGTCATCCTAAGAAACTGAAAAGTGGTCTTTCATTGTAATATACAGCTGGTTGTTCTGAGTGGAAGCAGTAACAGATATCCAAAACCGTTCAATTATATTCTAAGTTTAATTCATTTTAGTCCCCTTCTACATGTTGCATGTGTGCCACAATTAACACATTAATGATGGCATAATTGGGAAAGACACTACATGTACACTCAATTTAAGGTGACAAAATGGGGAACAAGCCATAAAAAGTTGCACATATAATGTAGAACATTTTAATGATGTATAGTGTCTTGAATTTAACATGTGGCCAGGGTAGGGTTGCTAACTCTGATTGGAGCTATTCCAGGAGATTTTTTTCCCCCGACATTATATTAGCTATTTAGCTAACATTATACTATGTAAATCTCCTGAATTGCTTTCAGTAGTCACTGGGAGATTGATGCTGATTCTGGTAGACTCCCAGCCAATCCGGGAGGGTTGGCAACACTAGGCCAAGGCTTTATTTATATCTATGCACCAGAACTGAAACAGTGTGTCAAACAGTATTCAGAAAACTTGTTCTTTAAAAAATCCTGTCTCGTCACCAGTACAGGCAGTCCTCAACTTACAACATTTTGACTTGCAACATTTCACACTTACAACATTTATAAATTGACACCTCCTTTCAACTTCCTGACATTGGTATCGACTTTATGGTGCTTGATCCAATGCCACACCACACCAGTGAAGAAGTTCGCTGCGTCGCCCATCTCCCTGGAGAACGTCTGTCCAAACTTCCTTGGACACTTTCTTTAAGAAAGCAGCCAAGACTCCTGAGAGGACTCCAGCCAAGAGCCCTTCAAAAGGTCCAGCAAAGTCGCCTCAAAGTCCTTCCAAATCAAGATGATCGCTATTTACAATATAAATACATGAATATAGCTATTACTTATCTATAATTGATTAAGTACAAAATTCTGGGTTATTTTTGGTGAAAATAGGGTATCGGGCCTTGGTTCAGGAACCATCCCCCGTTTATAACATGGTTTCCTATGTGAAAATTGGGTCCAAGTTACAAAGTTTCAACTTAAGACGTGGTTATTAGGAACCAATTGTGTCATAAGACTGAGGACTGCCTGTATCCACTTGTTGGAGAGTAATTCTATCTTGGTATTTTACTGTAATAGGAGATCAAGGCAGAGAGATCTTTCCACCTGCTTTTGCATTTTCTCTTCCTGACTAAATTACTAGCCTGTGATCCTCAGTTTCCCCATGTGTTGAATGAAGGTATTGACTAACTTTGTAAAGTGACTTGAGACCTACTTGTGAAAAACACCAAGCTACGCACGGTATTTACAAAAGAAAGCAATGCATGGATAACAGGCACAGAATATTTTCTTAGGTAATCACTATGGAAATACTTGGGGAACTATAGGGTCATGAAGGGATGTAACATTTGTCCTGGGAGAGAGCCTTTTGTCCAGGCATCATGCAGATCTACACATTCACTATCCTACTTCAAGTCTTTCTGAAGTATGCTAGATAAAATGTACTAATACCTTTTCCTGGGACACCTTGTTATACATCTGTATGGTTATTGTGATTAATTCAAGAGACTGGCTTATCAAGCTGTGTACTCTTGTTGGCCACCTACTAGTGACAGGGTAGCCTGTAAGGGTGATGTGTATAAATCAGTGGTTCTCAACCTTTTTTGTACTAGGGCCCATGTATAAACATTGAGGGCCAGTCCTGACTCAGTAAATAGTTTAAGGAGAAGCAGTCCCCTGGCCCTGCAAACTCCCAACCTGCTTCCCCCCAGGCTCTCAGTGTGTGGGGCAGGGGTGTGTGGGTGGGGGGTATGGGTGGCACATGCCCATGGGAGGCATGCCCATGGGAGGCACAGGGCTGCAGCCTCACAAGACTGGCATGGGCAGGATCCACTTTCTTGACCCTGAGCAGGAGGGCAGAGTAGGGTGGGAAGACTCATTACTCCTGCAGCCACCAGCAGCCACCAGGACCCACATACCAGCCAGGCTGTCATCAGCATGAGGAGGAGTAATGAATGGGGGAGGGGAGGCACTTTCCTTACCTCCTCCTGCTACAACTGACTTGTCCACCAGGCCATATCTCTGCCTCACTACCATGGCTTGGCCATCACTGCTGCTCCCCTCAGGCTGCCCATGCTGCCTACCACCTCTCCTACAGGGTAGAGATGTCCATTACTTCTTGCACTGCTGGAAGTGCAGCTGGATCCCAATGAGCCTTGCTAGCCTGCTCCACCCTGCAGGGCTGGGTCCCGCTTGCTGGGCTGTGGAGGCAGCTCCTGCCCATGCCAGACCAGCCAGGCTTGCAGCCTCATGCCTACTAGGGGCACAGAAGTCTGGGGGTGCATATGCCCTCCATGACTCCCCCACACATCACTAGTGTCCCCCATGCCTCCCTGATGCATCATCTGTGCTCTCCCCCAGCCCATATACTTACCTGTAGGGAGTGCTGTTCGTGCTGCCTGGCTTCCGAGTGCATGCACATGCTCATGACACCCCCTACCTGATCACCCTTCCCTTGCTCCCTCCAGTCCCAAGCAGCCCCTTGCAGGTTGGAACTTTGCCAGCCTGCAAAGGGAAACCAGCAGTTTCCCATGTTTTTCTCCTGTAAAGGACAAAATCTGCGATTTTCTGCAGCAAACAGAAGACCTGGTTCCTTGTTTACTTGTATGCACAGTACAGCATTACCATATGGTGAAACACAAGCAGCATCTATTTTTTTTTAAAATGCATGGAAAATATGATCCATTTCTAAAGTTTGTTCAAGACCTTTTCATATATTCTTGCAACCTACTTTTGGGTCATGAGCCACAGGTTAAAAAATGCTGGTATAATGGGTTTTGATCAGGGTCAAACCCCAGGACAATCAGTCTTGGGTCAAATGAGATGCATGTTTACCAAGTAAGCAGGGGAGCTCCTGCAGACACCACCAGCACTGTCAGTGGCGGGGGGGTGGTGAGCACCAACCACAGGCGCTGCCAGCAGTGGCACCCAGGGATGATCATGGAGAGGCTGCAGATGCTGCCAGTGAGTGACACTGTCAGCACCTTTTTGCAGTGAGCAACACTGTCAGCCAGTGATACTGTCAGCAACATGGTAGCAAGTGACACTGTTGGTGGTGCCTTTTTGCAGGGGGTGCACCACCACGCTCAGGGGGTGCACATGCACCCACGTGCACCCGCTACGTGTTACCCCTGAAGTTTACAGCCAAACAGTGACACCTGATGATCCCTGGCATACTAATTGATAGTGTGCACATATACTTACCTATAAATAGGGAATTCCCAAAACTCATGGAGGTACGCATGCTGTCACTAGGTTAAATGTGAACCTTTCCTTCTGTAAGGAAAATCTGGTTAGGATGCTATTACAATGCATTCTCCTTGATTGTGGATAAACCTCCAAATGCTATACCAGTTCTCATTGTGATCTGAAAGAAAGTATGGAGCCCACTGAAGTGCAGACAATATTTGTGTAATTTTATGGATTTGCTCAGACACATGCCATACTGATATGAGAGACTGCTTCCTAGGTAGAACTCATTGCATAGTTTCAGACAGTTGTACAAATACTGCATAATATGCTTCACAAATAGTCTCCTTAATAAACCTTTATACTCATTTCTGCCTGCATAATTGACACAAATTTGAGGAGTGTTTTAACATTGCCATAAATACCTTTAAAATACTATTGTTTTTCCTTTTGCTTTTAATAGCTAGTAGTGGTGCTACAGTTAATGGATCTTTAGTATATATGTAACAGTTATTTCATTTACACTATAAACACAGCAGGGAATCATATGTTTACATTAAAGTATTCTATCTTTGCCAACTGTGACTATAGTTAAGGGGCTGTCAGAATTTCCATTATAAACCCAATTTAATTTCCATGGCATTTGTCAGTTTCAACAACACTAAAGATATTGCTTAAACATAGGTTTTTATATTTAATTTTAGAGTTAACTTGAAATCCAACTCACAATTCCTTTTATTCTTCTCCCAGAAGATCTCCAAGGTATGCAAATCACTCAGTTTGGATTATATTTGAATTGTAAAGAATCTCTGTGTTGCAGCCCAGATTAATAGCTAATTGAATGTTTGTATGTTATACATGTGATTTGTGTATGTGTAGGTGGAGGGAGGGGGCAGTTGGTAGGAGCAGGGAGGAGAAAACCTTTAGGAACAGGGCATATTCCTGTATATCAGAATATCTGCCCACACTCTTGATTTCAATTCTACCTTCCTTTATTACTGTCTTGACCCTCCAGAAGGGAATTGACATCAACTATCAATACAGCTTGGTTAAATCCTTTGTCTTAATAGCACTTCTTGGCAAACTGTCAAGTTCCTCTGTCTACTACTGTATGCATAATGTAACAATTGCAAGGTTATAGATCCTGTGATAACTTCCTGTTATTACTCACAGGTCTAGGTCAACAGAAGCTTGACTGCTTGGTAGTATACTATACACAAGGAGTGGTCAACAAATGTTTTCGATGTAAACAATTGGCTCAGTAAGAGTCTCATTTTGGTGGGATATAAGGGCAACCAACCCCTAGGACCTTCTAATTGTCACCCTGATCTTATTAGCAGGTGGATGGGATTTCAGGCTAGGTAGACATTCAAAAAGCTTGAGGCAAAATCGATCCAAGCTATGTGGTTTTCTGTAAGCAGCATAGTTTAGATTGGTAGTGAACAGAACACACATTTGCCCTTTGGTGGGGGACAGGTGGGGGCAAATCTTATACCAAGTTCCACCATTCTTAAACCAGTCTGTGTGCTGAACTTCTCCTCTGTTATGGGTATAGACAGGTTTCCAGTCACTTACACCAGTAAAAAATGTCTGTACCTGGCTCCAGAGTGGCTCTTCTTACAAATAAAATCTTTGTCTATGAACAAGATTTTTTTTTTCAAAAACATCCCAGTGAATCTGGACTATTTTTTAAATGTCCCCACACTATTTTTTTTTTAATAATCTGATTTTATTTTTATGGCAAACACTCAGCATTTTCTGAAAATCCAAGACTCTTAAAAGTGTCATGAGTTTGGCACGAAAAATCACAACTATGTCCTGAAAATCCTAGCACATCCATCCCAACCTCCCCGTCTCTGTAGGATCAGAGAGGCTGGGAAAAGCCAATGCAGCTGGCTACAGAACTCAAGGAAACAAAGCAGGTAAAGTTCCAGGGAACACTTTGTTGCAAGGAAACCAAGCAATAAGTGAACTTAGCAGTTTTAGCCGAGACAATTTGAATGTATGAGGGGGCGGGAGGTGTTATTTTTTAAGGTTCACTGAAACTTCTGAATCAAAGCTTACTTGGGAAACACAATTCTGTGCAAAACAACGTTCTCATAGATGTACTCTTTGATTAGACCAGGATATGGTTGCTTCTACTAGACTTGTATTCTGTAGAAAAATGCCCCTACAATCCATTAAACCCTGTCCTTTTTCCAGACATTTCATTGTAGTACACAAAATATGCTTGTGGAGCACCTTGTGTTTTGGTGACAGAAAGACATTAGTTTTTCATACGTTGTGGATTAATTAACTGTGAAGCTACAGTTTAAATAGCCCAGCCTCCCTGAAGTGTTATGGCTGTAAAAACCATCCCAAGTAAAAAGGTTTTATTACTTGAAAAGGTGAAAACAGTCAAACTTTTCTTCAAAAATTTGACTAGCATTTAGTCTGAAGAGCTGGTATCCTTTATTACCCCCTGTCAAAGTTCTTAACATAAATACTAAGACCTTTTTAAAACTGGGATACAAATTGGTCCTGGAACATGCATGGATAGTTATAACCAAACATTTCATGCCTTACAAATCTCCACTTAAGAGTGCATTAGGGGTTTTTTATTTTATTTTATTCACGTAAACCTATTTATGTAATGTTCTCTAATATAGAATCAGTCAGAACATCAAAAACTTCCAAATAAATTCTGCACTTCTAAGGCCCTGCTGCCCACTGAAAATTAAGTCCAGCTAGATCCCCATTCTAAATCCAGTCAGGGAGGAGAAACTACTAATCATTGAGGTCTCCTATGCGTATAGGGAGGAACCTAGGGGTAGTCTCTGGAAGGGGTAAGTTTCATAGAGAAGATAGGGACAGTCCCAGTTGGTGTAAGGAGAGGTGACCTGGTAACTGCTAAGCATTTGAGAGAGCTCTTAAGTGGGCACATCTACATGTTCGACTAAGATGCACAAATAAACTCTTTATTGCTCTGGAGCTTTTTGCTCTCAGGCATGCCATTTTGAATGTGCACCCAGGAGCAAAAAATTCTGGAGCATATTGGTCTATATTTTATTCATGTGCAGCATGTGGAGCCCAGTTGGAGCAGTCTGGGCTGGCAGGGCACCCCAGGGGGTCAGCCTGCTACCCAGGGCTGCTCCAGCTGGGCTCCATGTGCTAGGTGGGGGTGGGGTAGGATGGCTGGCGCACGAGGTGCCTGAGTGTGGAACTAGCTGGCAGGTACCCCAGACAGTCCAGGTAGCGTCTATATGTGTGATGCTCTGCACAAAAAAAACTCTGCACCATGGCACTATTTTACAAGACTTTCCTGCTGCGAAGTTGATTAATTTCCTGTACTCTAATACGGACGTATGTGTAGATGCTGAGACACGTATTGTGCACTTGACTAATTAACTATTAAATAAATGTCAAAGTAAACATTTTAAAGTTAAAAGTAGAAATGTGCAATAAATGTCTTGTGTACACATTCCCACTTAGAACTAAAAACCCCAGTTAATTAGAAATGGCCTGGAAACACTGTTTCTTTATTGTTTGTAGTATTCTCTTTGAAAC